TGTGGACGTGAAAATTTTTTAATCCGGAAAGAAAAAGATGGGGATTAAAAAGTATCTGGATACGTATGAACGGGGCGTAGCCTTTAGCGTTGTGCATGGCGGACTAGGGAGCTTTATGAACGACTAAGGCGACGGCAGGGAGAACGTCAAGAAAGCAATAGGTTTATGAAGCAAAACAACATCTTTGCAAGTGCGTCACGCTTTTTTTGTGCATTTCTTTGCCGTCACTGCACGCGACTACGACCTGAAGTTTCATGGAGGACGTTAACAAGGGACGACGAATTTTACTTAAAGGCGGTCCCCAAGAAATCAACTCCCGGCATATTCGCCTACATTTGACATTTTCAGCGAACTGGAATAAACGTGGCAAAGTGTAAGAAAAGCCAATTCAGTTTTAAGGTGATGTTCTCGCTGCTGTCGCCGTGGTCGATGCTAAAAGTCGCTTATATTTCTACCCATGCGGCTCCTGCTTTAGGGTGGCGAGTGAAGAAATAGAAGTAATAAAAATAAAATAAAGGGAAAAAAGGCCCTCGTTTCCCCTACTCCTACGGCCATAAGCTTTGTTCTACCTTTCTAACATTTCAACCAATTCTATGACCGAATAGCTAGTTCCTATCAACACACACAACTGAAAGAATGGTAAACTTATTTGTAAGAATTTGTAAAAAATTGTAAGTTCTAATTTGCTATGACTGGCTCATTTCGCTTTCGACAGTTTAAAGAAGCCGCGCAATTTTATTGTGGATAGAAGGAAAATTATTTCTTGTAAATATCAATAAATTGTATATTAATTCAAAAAGCAAAGCAAGATGGCTTGATTCCCCTTTTATGAGGGAATTTTAAAATTTGAAAGGTCTATTTTCTTAACAGGAAAATAAAAAATAATATTCACGCGTTGACGTGAAGCAAAATATTTCTCTATTTTTACATTTTTAATCGCTGTGGCTGTAAATTTGTTTATAGGAAAAATCCTTTAAACACAGGAAAGTTCTTATGTTTCTATTGATATTAGTAAGGGTATCTACAGTAGTTAAAACAATGTGAAATATTTCAAATAAAATTAAAGAACACTGGTATTCATGATGTTTGGTTAGTGACGCGGTCCTGCCATACGACATTCCGAACCATCCCATTTTTTAGGCATTATAGCATTCCAATCTACTTGGCTCGTCGGACAATGTGGATTTGCATTTGTTTCATAAGGAGAGCGCCTGGTTTCAGGGGCACCCAACGATGGTTTCGTCCTAAATACATTGAAAACACTTTTAAGGCTATCCAGAGTACTTAAAGCTATCTGGAAATGCATCCTAGGCGGAGCTATAAAATTTGTATCTGTTCGGTCATCCTAGGGGAACTTGAGTCTTTTCGAAATTACCAGGGTTTGAGAGTTATTTTTCCAAAAATTTTAGGTGAAATTTGACGTATAACGAAAGTGAGACATTTTCTGATTCTTAGCGCCATCACATTTTTGAATCCGGAAATTTTAGGTTCCCTTTTTTTTCTATAAAAAATAGCCCAACTTGGGAAGTAAAATGTGAAAATTAAGCCTCAGAAAATCGTAGGGAATTTCTACGATATGCTTCGAAAATTGTACATGTTTGGAACGGTCATCTAGAAATTTTTAGCTGTCCGCAAGTAAAAGAAAATTCTAGGCAATATTTGTTTCTCCGAACAGATATTTTACCGAAAACAGTCGTTGGCTGTCCCTGTGGTTTGTGCTTTCCCATAAAGACCTTGTCACGGTTTTCGACGCCATCTTGACGAGTAGGCAAACGCGTGAGAAATTAGAGTGTTTGTATGAGAATCTAATGTCGAATGATTTCCGTAAAACGGCTGTTCTGAAAAAATATTATGAACTGTAAACTAAAGCTACACAGCAAAGGATTTTACTAACAAATTTTGTGGGCCGTTACTGTGCTTAAATTTCTCCCGAAGCTTGCTTTAGATTTCCATATATTTGTCTGCAATTTTTACAGACAAATGCATAGAAAATTTTTAAAAAGGTTCTAGGTCTTCAAGCGTATGTAACGCCCCCAATTTTTTTCAGTAGAATCCTTAAGAGTGAAGCTTTAGTTTACAAAACATTTTTTTTTCAAAACAGCCGTTTTACGGAAATTATTCGACAATAGATTCTCATACAAACACTGCAATTTGTCACGCGTTTGCCTACTCGTCAAGATGGCGTCGAAAACCGTGACAAGGTCTATTCCCGCAAGTGATCCTGCTCGCAGGCTACACAAACTTAAAGAGAAGAAACTGTGTCGATTTACCTTAAAAAAAAAAGCCTTTCTCGTTTATAGAAAGAAAAATGACAATTGGATTTTTTAAAATATTGGATCATAATTTTGAAACATAAATACATTTATTTCCTCTCTTGTTTGCGTGACATTTGTATCGCGTTACCCAGTTACGGAGAATATCCCTGAACACATGTACCTAAATTTACTTATACAAGAATTAATAGCAAGGACTCTTTACTTCTTTGGATTACTCCCTTGATCTCCATGATTACTGTCTCTTACCGCGTTAAAACACATGGACGCTAAGATGCTCAGGCAAGTACATAAAGTTCCGTGACAGCAGGCGCTGCTGATCACATTTTCGTTACCAGTTTTCTCTCCGGCAAATCTGCTAATGCAGCATGATTCCTCTTGGCCAATCAGATCTTCGAAGTGCGAAAAAAGTAGCACTCCTTCCTTGACTGATCAAGCACTTCGTTGCTCCTTGACGCGCGGAAGAGCAAGTGGCGAGTAGGTCCACTTTTTGACACGAAATGGTGAATCTTGGACACGTATTTCCCAATTTTGAAGCCGATACAAGCCAAGGCAAAATCAAATTCCACGATTACATCGGAGGAAAGTGAGTATTACATCTTCATAACTATTAATTGTCTATATAAGCTTAAACAGTCTAACTTATACGCAAGCTATTAAAATTCACTTTTCAGGAAGGCGATGAGGTCAGCAAAACCTTGAGGTTTTTCAAGCTCTATGATTTACAGTATCAAACGATTAACTGTATTTAAGGCTAATTTTAAAATCGCGCACTGCACAGTACAGTTTTTTGAACAGGGTATAGTTCAAACTTGTTACTGCTGGATCGAGGGACAAGGATTTTGCAATAAGCATATATCAGCTATTTAACACGTAAGCTTATATCACATAGCAGACGTAAACCATCTCTGGACATAACACTGGTGACGTACATTTAAAAAGGAATATTATTGTTAGTCCTGGAAAGATATATTTGTTTAGATAAGACCACCCTTGGACACCCTTGAACACGCATGTGAGTACGTAGTAGGTAATCACGAGTTGATATGCGATTACGTGTAAATGAGTTAACGTTGAAAATGGAGTGATGAGGTCTGTTGCGATTTTGATAATCTTGTTGCTTAGAACTATGTTTAAACAAGAAGTCATTATGACATATACTTATGGATCCTTATGTAGTGTTAGATCGGACGAATCTGCAGGAAATAATACCAGTTTGGTTAGAAGCCACACCTGTAAGTGATCATAAGTTCTGTAACTGGATACAATTATATATAAGTTTAGTGTGAAACCTGTGTTGCTTGCCATTTACACCAACCATTCAGTTGAAAATCTCATGCATAGGCATTTCAATAATGTGTTGTTCTTGATTCCCTGGGTTCCAGAGACTATTTATGCAGGGTTTCCGGTTTCGTTCAAGTCTTTATAGTGACCAGTTCAAAAAGTCTCTGTACCAGAGTGCCATCTCTTTTATAGTGCTGAGCCAATATTAAAATCATTGAAACCCCCAGAGTCTGGATGTTTTGTTGATTTACTGCCGGGGGATGTTGTATGTATCAAGTGCTGTGATTGGGTGACAATATAACGCCACTGCCATCAAATTACCACATGTAGGAAAAAACCACTGATACCCAGGGTGTGTTCTAGGAAACCTGCTGAAGGTTTTTGGTAGCCTGCGTGGCAGGTGCAAAAAGGGAAGGGGGAGGGGGGTGAGAAAGGGAAAAGGGAAGGGAGCGCCTGCTATAAGAGCTCGTGTTTTTATATTCCGCCTACCAGTTTCCTAACTAATCCGATAACATCAACTGTCAATACGTGACCAATCACAACTAAAGTAGGGGCCCCTTCTCAGCATGGCCCAAACTTAATTACTTTGTTTACCGGAAATTGTCAAGTCGAGACCATTTTTTCAAATGTTATCATAATCGTGCAAAGTAAAACATTTTTACTGTTCTTGCTCAGCAAACGCGACAAACGATGATCAGTTTTGAGTTAATATGGAAAAAACCTTTGGTCTTGCCTCATCAAACTTGATGGTCGAAAAGTACAGAACAGTTGCCAGTCTGAAACGCGAATAATTTATGAAAGGAGAATTCTATACATTTATCAAAAAGCTCAACGGATAATTGTTACCGAAGCTTCAGTTCTTTCTTTACAAACCATTTCGAAGTTCATTCAAGGCGTTATATGTGAATTGCAGAAAAGTTTAGTGTCCAGCTTCTAAAATTTTTCCAACAATAATTGTAGCCGTTGTCTTGCCTGTGAATATCGGCATCACAGATGACAAGAATCGCCTCAAATCACTGTGTGGTGTTTGGCAAATCCACTCACACAAAACCTCCTGAGCATCCGCTGCCTATAGTTGGTTCTAGTTTGGGTTTCAACGTGACGTTCCTACATGATTGGAGTAGTTTTAATCTTCCAAAGCTTATGCCAACAGAGACTGTCAATGTAACACATTTCCTTTGATGCTGCATCATGGTTGTTTCTTACTAATCTGCATCTATAAGTTATGCTCTTTATGGCTTAGCCAATCAGGAATTTGCGGATGCCAGCATCTGCAGAAATGAACAAAAGGGGGTTCTTATAGCAGGTGTCCCTAACCCTCTCTCCCCAATCCCCCTTCCTTTTCCCCTTCCTCCCAATCCCCTTCCCTTATTGACGCCTGCTATGCAGGCTAGGTTTTTGGTTTCAAAACCATTTATGTTGTGTAATTCTACAAGTTATTGATTGATTTATTTTGTCAGTTGGGCAATCCTCTTCTCTCACCCTGCTGACTACACTCCGGTATGTACCACTGAGCTGGGGCGTGTAGCAAATCTGGCTTCAGAGTTTGAAAAGAGAGGTGTAAAACTCATTGCCCTGTCGTGCGATGGTGTTGAATCTCATCAAGGTTGGATTAAGGATATTGTGGACTACAGCAAGTATGCTGAGAGTGAATTTCCTTATCCAATCATTGCTGATGAAAAGCGAGAGCTGGCCATCTTACTTGGCATGATTGATCCTGATGAAAAAGATGCTCAAGGCTTGCCTCTGACTGCTCGTGCAGTAAGTTGGACATAATTTTTTCTGTGAGTTTGATCTCATAGCATAAGAAAAGTTGTTTCTAAATGATTCCTTTCATGCTGATTTGAATGTAAAATCCTGAATAGGGAATGGGGTTTTTGACAATGTGTAGTTCGAGAAAATATCCATACACCCCCACCTTCCACAGAGGGCAACAAAAATTCAGAGGGGAGGAGGGTTCCAAAAGGAAGCCATTTTTGAGGAGTTGGGATGGCCTCTCGACGTCTTTTTTCCGGGGGCTCCAAGTAATGATTGGTGAGGTATTTAAGACTAACAGCTGTCTGGTTGAACAAGCTATCAGGTATTTTACTGTTAATTGGTGTTTCAAAGCAAAAATTATTGTTTTCATCAATGATCTTTTATTTGCAGTCGGCTGAGTCCTTTATTCACGGTTTGCACAAGAGTTTATGTAACACGATTGTCATTCGCTCATTAATAAACGTGGCCATATTTCTCGTATAATGTACTTTCCTTGTGAGGAGAAATTAACTTCAAATTCTTAAATGGGTCAGCTTTATATATGCCTCTCTCAACTGAGTATCAGTCAAAAAGTCCCCAATATAGTGTTATTCAACACTTTCTTGCCTTAATTATTAAAATAATAGCCAAAGAATCCCACAAAATTCAAATTCAAATTCAAATTCTTTTTGAATTTTCATAAAATCCTGAGAAATTGAAAAGTATTTTGCAAACGTTCTGCCAAAAAGGTTTCATTTTAATGGCAACACCACATGATCTCATCCGGAGATTTTTAGATGTAGCTGGAAAATTCCTGACCCCAAACTGTTGATTCTTTGAACAATGTTGACTTATATTATGTGCCCAAGTGTGCAGAATTTTCAAACAGATTTTAGAAAATAAGAAGTTGTTTCAAATTTTAGGCTGAACAGGTTCTTGTGTAGAGGGGACCTAACTGGCAAATTTTATTCTAGTAAGTTCTCAAAAACCAGGTTCTTGGTCGCAGGTTTTTACTGTACAAAACAAAAATGTTTTTGATGAATTTAAACAGTCAGTAATTAAATTTCCTGGCTATAGTGGAGTTAGAGTCTGTTGTTCTTGTGCACCAAATAACTGCCAACAGGCAAGGAATTAATTTATAGGGTGTTACTTAGGGTTTATTCAATTTATAGAAATCAATATAAATTTTTAAAATTATCCCTCAAAATACTGTAGGTGTTTATCATTGGACCAGACAAGAAGCTGAAGTTGTCTTTGCTTTATCCAGCGACCACTGGTCGTAATTTTAAGTGAGTTGAATATTTATGTATGTTAAACAGTTTTAATGAACCATAGCTGTAGGATAGTTGGGGTTTTTAATAAAAAGTCTTCCTCTGTCAATGGCATCTGAGAGAAATTATAAGAAACAAGAAGCCATTTGTCTGCCAATACGCCAATGCAACACAGCACTTAATTCACAAGCTGTCAACCATCACGTACTTACAATGTTTACAGGTGGACATAAATGACACCTGAAGAAGGATTTTGAGGTTATCCTATATTAAGATCTCTCTCTTACAGATAACCTACCCGGCCCAGGAAAGGTTGGCCACATCGGCCACTGGGATCTACATTCCCTACTCTTTTTGAACAGTGGTGTATAGTCACTGGGTTCTTTTACGTCCCACAAGAACCAGATAAGTGAAAGTGCTGTGAGCAAGAACTACAGCTGTACAGTTTTTCATCCTTATCTGAGAAGACTAGAAAGTCTAACCATTTGCAGATGTCATTGCAAAGGCAGCAATTTTTTCTCAGTTATTTATAGTGAAATTGGGTGTATCGCGCTGTGCGTTTTGCAAACTTCAAAAGAATTTTGGGTTTTTCTGTTCCGTCAATCATCTTTGGCGGACCTCTTAGGAAACACATGTTTACCCTCACGAGTTCAAAAGGTCATGGTTTGTGATTCGTGATTGGTGGATTTCGATCCGTTTTGTTTGTTTCGCGTTTCAAGGTTCTTTGCTTTGTGATCGTCCTGTTTTGGGCAATATACGACTAGTTAAGTTTGCTACGCATTTTTTTCTGATCTTTCTTATTCTTGTCACTCGCAAGAATAAAGCAACGTCTGCCTCCTTCATTCGACAAAAAATCCACTCGCCATTGAGATTTCCTTTACTATTCTTGGCAGTCTAGAGTCATTCTCAGCCAAGCTGGGTGAGCATGTTACATTGTGATTTTCATTAACCCCGCCTTCACTAAAATGATTGACAGAACAGAAAAGCCCAAAATCCCTTTGCAGCGCGATACAACAAATTTCGTTGTAATTAAAGACCATGAGTGTTGGTTTCAGTGGGGGCTTGAACCTGCGACCTCCTGCTCAGCCAACCAGCGCTCTCCCATCTAAGCAAACCAGGCTGCTTATAATAGTTTAAAATGGACAAAGGAAAAAGAGAACAACCTTCCTAAACCTAGTACACTGCTTTTAAACAAACACATTGTTTTAAAACTTTATGGCAAGAAATCAAAACTGAAACATTTGACAAGTGTCCTGAGTGTGAAAACTGATACCCTACCTTGTGGCATGGGAGAGCTATATATCTTGCCTCTTTTGCAGAAGACTAGTGTTCTTTACCAATGTTAGTCAGATTTAGTGATTATTTAATTTTAACTTTGTTCAATTTACAGCGAAATTTTGCGTGTGGTAGATTCTCTCCAGTTGACTGCTACAAAGAAAGTGGCCACTCCTGCAGACTGGAAGGTTAGTGCTATAGTTCAGATTACCATACTTAATTGAAGAAAATGCATGTCTTAATACCACTAAACATGTCATGGGGCTCTTGTGCTTGCTGTGCGCGTGCAGCCAAGCACCATGGGTAATAAAATTTGGTTATCTATGCATCCTAGAAAGTTTGGTTGTGAGAAAATCACCTGTACATACACGTCCATTCACATGTATATTCATCAACACCTTCACCCCATCCACCTTGTCTTTAAAGGGGCCGTGTCACACTATTTACTATTTTTCTAAAACGTGTCTTTGCATCAACTGAAGTCCAAAAATAATGGTCCAGTTTAAATTTTGTTATTCAAGTTATTTTTAGTTGTTAACACTCTTTTCCCATTGTGCTGTTGCTACAAATGGCATTTGGTTTGAAACTCGAAAAAACTAGGCCAATTATTTTCAAGTTTTATGCTGTGCCTGAAAAATTCCCAAAATTATTATTGTTGTTCGTGCTCCTTGATGAAACTTGTTTGGTATCTTCTTCATAATTACAGGGGCATTTTTTTGTATGAGTATAGACACTGAGCAATGACTTAAGCACAGAATTGACTGAAAACAGCAATCCCCTTGTGTTGCCTGAATAGTATTTCTATTACTAAGTAGTCTTGAAAAGTGATAAACTGATCATTGACCTTAACAAATTTGCAACACATGTCTAATGTGCCATCTTTGAGAAAAATTAAGGATCGAATCTGCCACTTGTCTAGCATATAGTTTATACTGTGTATTAAATTTTTTAGGCTGGTGGAGACTGCATGGTGCTTCCTACAGTGAAACAAGAAGATGTCCCCGAACTGTTCCCTAAGGGCGTGAAAGTCACGGAAATGCCGTCTGGCAAACCTTACATGCGTTTTACTCCTCAGCCAGAGTGATTACAACAGAAACAACAAATAGCATTTTGGATTCTGTTTGTAGCACAAAGCAGTGCAAATACTACTAGAATTATACACGTGTCAAATTCATAGACTTGTGTAGTTTATTACTCATTCAAAACAATAGAAATCATTAAACTTTCAGGCCCAAAAAGTGGTCGGGATCGCTTACAGGAGGAAGTCATAATTACTAGAGGTTCCAACTGTAAGCAGGGGCACCCAACAATGGTTTCCTCCTAAATACATTGAAAACACGCTTTAGGCTATCCAGAATACTTTTAGATATCTAGAAATGCATTGTAAGCGGTGCTATAAAATTTGTACAGTATCTGTTCGGTCATCCTAGCAGAACTTGATTCTTTTCGAAATTAGAAGGGCTTGGGAATTATGTTTCCGAAAATTTTGGATGAAATTTGACGTATTTCGAAACTGAGACATTGTCTGATTCCTCTCGCCATGTCATTTTTGAATCCGAAAATTTTAAGGTCCCTTTTTCCTACGTAAAATAGCCTAACTTAGGAAGTAAAATGTGAAAATTAAACTTCAGTAAATCGTAGGGAATTTATAAGATAAGCTTCGAAAAATTGTAAATGAATGGAACGATCATCTAGAAATTTTTAGCCGTCCTCAAGTAGTAGAAAATTCTAGGCAATATTTGCTTCTCCGAACAGATATTTTACAGAAAACAGTCGTTGGGTGCCCCTGTGTAAGGCTTTGACTGGGAAAGTTTTGGTGTCTTGGATGAGTGGTCGCTTATGGTCGCTATATCGGCTATATTAATATGTTAACAGTATATATCGGACCACAGCAAACAAAGGCGCCACTGGCAGCCGCTATCGGTCCATTTTTTATGAGCTTACTGTGCCCACCCAACCCATGATGTGAATGATGTGATGTGTGAAGGTTAGCCACACCACCGGGGTCTACGTCCCCAACTCTTTTCGAACAGTTGTGTGGGTTCTTTTTTCGTCCCACAAGAACAGATAAGTGTAAGTGCTGTGAGACGGGACCTACGGTTTTTCGTCCTTATCCGAGAAGACTAGAAAGTCTAACCGTTTGCAGATGCCATTATAAAGGCAGCACTTTCTTCTCAGTTATTTAAAGACCCTGAGTGTTGGTCCGGCCGGGGTTCGAATTAACCCGTCCCATCTAAATTAAAATCCGTGACAAATACAGGTATGTCAGGTATGTGGTATGTTTCACATTAATCCTGTCCGTACTGCACGCGCCAAGGTTTTTTTTGGCTAGTTAGACACCTGACCTTCTGACCGTTCTCTTTGCCGTCACTGTTAAGTATTACGCGTTAAGTATTCAATTTTATGTTGAAGTAAACTATTAGTATATTAACGAGAGTTTCGCTTCTAGCCCTGGCTAAATCTATGTACCCTAAATACTCTTTTAAGACCCTAGGGGCTTATTTATTTCAAACATATTTGAAGGGGGTGGTGGTGGTGGTGAATAAACCATCTCGGATCAGTCCACATGAAGTTTTACAGTCGTGATTGATTGATACATTTTATCATTTATTAGTGAAGGATAATAAGGGGGAGGGTTGGGGGGGGGGGGGCGCTTATTAACTCCCTTCCCCTGAAAAGGGGGGGGGGTTATTAGGGGGGGGGGGGCTTAAGGGAGGATTTATGGTATTAGGGGGGGGGGGGAGGCCCCTTTTCCTCCTCATAACCCCCCCAATCTTTTTTTCCCCCCCTTTTTTTTCCCCTCCTCCTCTGGCTGTTCCTTACTGGTCCTGTTCCCCCTTTCTGAAGCTCCCCCCCCCCTTCTTCGCACTTCCTACGGTACGTTGCTGCGTTATTGTGTATTTAACGATTTTTGTATAGTATATTTTTTAGATTGATGGAAGAGAGGGGGGGGGGGGGGGGGGGGGGGGGGGGGGGGCGCTAATTAACCCCCTCCCCTGGAAGGGGGGGGGGGGTTGTTGGAGGGGGGGGGTCTTAATGGAGGATTTATGGTATTAGTGGGGAGAGAGAGGACCCTTTCTCTCCTCAGTACACGCCCAATCTTTTTTTCGCTCGCTTTCTTTTCCGCTCATCCTCTGGCTGGTCCTTACTGGTCGACTTGCACCTTTCTGAAGCGTCTCCCTCACTTCATCGAACCAGTCACATCACAGGTGTAACTAAAGGTAGTGGTTCTCGCGTCTTGAATTTTTTCGCGTCACTCCTGGCGTCCTTTTGAGCCGTGAGGTTATGTTGGCCTCCCTGTAGTCGATAATTTGTCTTGGAATTTGTTTATTTTGGCAACGCCACCCAGAAAAACACACACAAGAGTAGATACAGGGGCCTGTAGGTCAGGTAGGACCTCGAAGCCAGTTTATTGCAAACTTACCGCAAGATTATAAGCAGACCGCACTTAATTACAAAACCCCCTCTGACGAAAAGCAAACCTCTAAAGAAACTAAGTACGACACCGCCGGTACGAAAACCCAGAACCACTTTGTGGAAATGAAAGGGTGCCTTTGGCTAACTTGTGAACGAGAAACGCCAGTAGAGAATGATGGGAAGGGCGCAGAAGCGGCAAGAATGTGCCGAAAAAAAGTGATAGCGATAACTTGGCAGTGATGCAATAATCCCGCACAACCCGTGGCTTTCGTGATTCCCGCCAACTAACGGGACATACCGCCCGAAAGGAACAGGGAATCTTATAAAAACTCCTCAGCGCCACAGTTCGTTCAATAATATTCTGTCAAAAGTTCCGCCTTGGTATGATTTTACAAATTTTAAAACAGAACTAAGGAAGGTCGTTCTAAGATGATTTACTTTACACTATAAAACCGGTAAGATATTTGGGACCATTACTTTGGTCCAGGTTAGCTACTAAAGTAAAGGGAAAGCAATATTTTGTCTACGAGAATTTAATTAGAAAAACAAAATCTAGCTACGCTTGTCTCTGCAAATGAATTGATCATGCGAAAATTGCGTCCAGAGCCGTAATTCTTAGAATTTCTTGTGTACTTGAAAATGTCTATACTTTATTATATTTGATAACATGGGGTTTCATGCATATTCTCACTAGTTCCTTTTCGTGCTATTTAGTTTTTTAGTCAGTTATTAGATAGGTGTCGTTACTTAGTGGGTAACCGCTATAGTTTTTGACACAGAAATAAGGTTAAGGGTAATGGTTTCTTTTTTAAAGTGAATTAATTGTAAATAGGATTTTAATAGTTAGTATGAAATAAGGTTATCGTTGTTATTGTTATTATCTCGCAGTATAAAACCTTGGAATGTTGTCCACATTATGAGTAGTATAGAGCACATAACGTAACCTACACCACTTGAGAAGCTATACTTAGAGGTAAAAAAAGGTCGGTGCGAAACCTAATACGATCCTAATATACATAATAATATGAATCTACTTAAAAAGCCAATTTAGAATATTATTAAATTCTTATACTCTCTGAAACCTACGCAAAGACATGATGATATAATTGTCTCTACTAGAAGCCTGTTTAGAAAATCATTTAGTTTTTATACTCTCATTATCTCTTATATACCTAAACAAGGCCATCATAATATGATTATCTCCAGTGAAAGCCTATTTAGAATAATATCAACCTCTAATACTCTAAAAAATCTTAGTAAAAACATCAGCAAACTTGTGTTTCTGGATTTCTAGAGGAAAAAAAGAACTTAAAACTGGAGTCCTTAGCGCCCTACCTTATTATTATTGTTATTATTATTATTATCATCATTATTTATAGCGTTTATAGTTGATGTATTTATAGTGTCTTTTCCTTTGTTTCAACCCTAAACAAGCTGTTAATGAATCTAAAAAGAAACCTTACAATGATAAAAGAAGACAAAGCAACCATAAGTATGAGTAAGAGGACATCCAACAGATAAAGCTGGTAGAACGGTAGATCCAGTCCTCTCGGTCTGAGATATGGCAAACCACCTTGAGCCCGCGTGTATTCTATCCAGTCAGCGGCTTCTTGGACTGGTGTACGAGGCAACTGTTTTATTGACTTGGAGATTCGTTTGGCAGACTCACGGTAGCTAGGAAATAAGAGACTTGAAGTCCAATTCTAGTGCCAACACTGAAATATCTTATTTACTGAATGACAGGTTAATCTTACAAATGGCCAAAATTTTAACTGACAACTGGCATTTGTACCCCCCCCCCCCCCCCCCCCCCCCCCCCCCCCCCCCCCACCCAAAAACACCCATACCACATCTTCTTTCTTTTTTAAAAATAACCTGGAGTTGGGTACGAGGGGAGTTGTTTTTTGTCCTGGGAAGTTCGTTGGGAAGACTCCCGGGGAATAGAAAAATGATGATTGAGAGCCAAATTTAGGGACAAAACCTAAAATTTTTTTTTTATGAAATACAGGGTTATTTTACCAACAGGCCAAATTTTTACCTGACACCGGCATTTTTTCCCCCCCCCCCCCCCCCAGACCCTCACCCATGTCCACTCAATGATAAAGCAAGTTACAATCTTTATTCATTTATTATAATCCAACCAGACCTGAAATCTCCCTGTGATAGGGTTGAATGTGGGGAGTGCGGGCTGTTTTTCTGTTGTCTTCTTTTCTCGCCCCCTTCGGCCCCATCGTTCGACTTCGCTCTGTTCAGCTTTCGAGCGAGCAGCTTTCGCCCCGCTATATTGCTTACTTTACGAAGCATACACCAAAACGACCCGACTACTACTCAGGCTAGGGGATTTGAGCCAAACAGAAACGGAGAAATAATTATTTTGAATGAAAAATAAAGTTATTTATCTGGCCCCCGTTGTTAGAAAGGTGGATAGCGCTATCCACTGGGTAAATTACTATGCAAAGGATAACGCAATTGGTTTCCGTAATTCTTATCCTCTGGAGAGCAATGTATCCGGTGGATAGCGCTTTCCATGAACTTTTGAACAACCGAGGCCTGATGGATAGCGCTATTTAACGTTTGAAAAATTAGGCCCTTAAGTTATATCCAGGCAAACGGCAGACGTATTAAGTATTTTAGTCGAAGAACGTAAATGATATCTTTTTTTTTTTTCAAAGTCGTCGGCCTCACTTGCAACCAATGTCTGTAGGTGAGGATTACAACTTGTTTTCACCTTTCAGAAATTTGACATTTGAACTAAATAAGTGGTAGACATTCGCGTCCTAGCCGCCCACGTTCTCAGAAAACGTTTAAGTATTTTCTTTTACTTGCGTTAATTCAACACGTTTTTATGTCTGTGATCTATTGTAACAATGAACGTGAGCTGTCATTATAGCATCATGGCCGGGATAAAATCCTTTGTACTAAATAAAAACACCAAACTGCTTCGACACGATTTTAACCCCTGCCAATTTTTGTAAGGAATGTTTTTTGCTCTCATTTAAAACATTGAACTTCAAAATAATTGGCACGCCCTGTAAGCCTTTTTCCTCAGATCGTCTTACTACTAGCGGAGTCAGCTGTTCATAGGTCATTTTCACCGGGTTTCGTCAATCGATTTATCAGACCACGCAGTGTCGTAAGGACACACAAGCAACAATAACCATTACAAAAGGAGGAATCAAAACTAAAGCAAATGCCATCGTTTTACCATAAGTTTCTCACCAAGAAAAATATTACAAATCACGCCATTTTTTATGTTGTTGTAGTTGTTGATTTTTTGGGGGAATTCACAAATGAACTGATGAATCGGTTCTCCATCTATACAACTTAGATGAACTTCATCCATTACATGAACGAATGAGTGCGTTTTAATCGAACAATTTATACCAGTTTGAGTCTAAAGAAAGGAATTTCATGCTTACGTTGTTAGGCATATTAAAAAAATTTTAATATGGACGAAAAATCAGGTTTTTGTCCGCTTTAGGAGAGTTTATCAACAACACATTCGGTGCCGCGTTCAACTGGTCAGGCGAAGTCCTTCGCGAAAAACTACAGCAATTTGGAGATTTGACGGGGAAGACAAAAAAACCCTCCACGGCCAAACATTTTTCTCTTCGCAAACAGCAAAATATACGAAGCAGGTTGTATTCGTGTTCCATAAGTGCAAGAAAGATAATTTAATTCCTGTGACAATTTATGAGGAATAGATTAGAAAAGGTCAAGAAGCTTAGAGGGCTCTTGAAAGTTGAACGCAGATGGATAGTATTATTGTCTAATTTACTCCAGTCACTTCTGAGTAAAAAGAAACATATTTTTCATTAGGACGTCTGACTTTTTTTCTTTTTGCAACGGTATTAAATTACCCCAGAACTTAAAAACGATATGTTTTTTTACTCGGCAGCTCTTTACTGTTTAACAATGTAAAGGTCTGCAACTTCTTGTATTTCTAATTTGAGAAAAAAGGGTTATTAAAATCGACAGACCAAGAAGATCATAGCATTTTTCAAGAATTTTTGTGAGGCGAAAGCTTTAAGCATTATTCCAGCACTTAAGGTTTATTTTCCTGGAACATTATTTTTTTCAGACTAAACTCTTTATTCGAAAAAAAATAAATAAAGAAAAGAAATTAAAATGCCACCCTAATACAACCCTTTAGAAGATTATTTTTTGCTGTATTAAACTGACTACTAACTTCTATACCTTGTTGCTATATCACTTAAAGGTTTTCGATTACGTTTCCCTGTTAAACTGTTTAGGATTAACGGAAAAGTCATTATATGATAAGCATTATCTGTGCAATCAGCAGTGACTTTTTTGACGGGGGTGGGAGGGAGGTGACCGAACCTTATATTTTAGCTGGAAAATGGAGCATTAAGCAGGAGCATATTAGTGAGGTAACAAAGGCGTAATGTACAAAAGCCTATTAATGTCTCTCTCGCGAATAAGGCGGTGACAAAACGGACAGAACATACAGATCGATTAAAGACGAATGATCAGAGTAAATCAACAGACGCGCCAATCAGCAAAAAAGAAATTAAGCAAAATGATCGTTTGCATTGTAATAAAGGCACAATTAAGTTGTGAACTAATTCATTTAGTTTAATTGTTATATCTATAGTGCATACATATACCACTGACGATACAACCAAGCCTTCCTGAGTGTTGGTTTTAAGGTTAAATTTGTAATGAAAATGAAAGGCAGCGGCAATAAATCGAATATCCTGTGTTTTTGATTCAGTGGAAATTATATCATAATTAAGTGTATATCTCTCTAGTGGTTGTTTCGTACAAGTTGCGCTTTCTGCGTAGTTAAAAGGAAGTTATTACTTGTAAAGTACATTCAGCGGCGCTCTGGATAAATATATTGTCGTTTTGTTAAACGTAACATCACGGGTTAAAAAAGAAGAAAACTTTCATAGCTATCGACCTCAGTGCTCGATTAACGAATACTTTAAAACTACAATAGGTTGGGTCGTTTTGTTAAACGTAACATCACGGGTTAAAAAAGAAGAAAACTTTCATAGCTATCGACCTCAGTGCTCGATTAACGAATACTTTAAAACTACAATAGGTTGGCAACAGCTGCTATATTCCTTCCGGTGCTTGAAATGATTAGTAGGACTTCCTTTTTTGATCGATTCCTTTCAAACAAGAACAGTTAAGAGTGGCAGCCAACTGTCGAAGGCTATTCTTAGCTCTTTTGCAGAAAAATACGATGAAAAGAAGAGGCAAAAGATGAAGAAAACAACCAAAACCCAAACTGCACTCAAAAAGAAGAAAACAGTACTGGAAACCAATCAGAAAAAATTAAAACGATTATTCTTCACGATAAAAACATCACACAAGTGCAAAGACTTTTGTTGATAAAATTTCGAATAAAACTAAGGAAAGCCGGCACCTGCCGGGCAAATGGCAAGCAAAAAGCCCCTAGTATGATCGCCGGATCAAATTTCTAAGTGAAACTAAAGAAGAATTTGTTTCTCAAATTCTCTTTGAATAACTCAGAACAAGAGAACACAAAATTTGGCTTTTTTAAAGTCGGTTATTCTGAACGGACATCGTCTTTCTTTTCACCTGCCTTGTGTTACAGTGCGATTCGCGATAACCTTGAAATTTTTCCGTTTCCTAAATCTAAATGAATTTTGAGAATTATTTAATTCGTTTCAGTACAGTAATCCACTATTAAATAACTCCGAACACATTTTAAGTCATTAAAACAGCTTTTACATCTCAGTTCTAACACCAAGGTGGTTCCTGAAGTGGCAATTGAATAAAAGTAATGGTTTATTGTTAGTAATTGCAAGTTTCTGTGTTAAGCGGACAGTATGAAAGCAAGCTACATATCATTGTGATCTAAGCACCGTCAATGTTTTAGATTGCGTGTTAGTGTTGATTTTGATGTTAAGGACATAATAACGCTTCATAGACATACTTTTCAAAACCTCTGACGACGCCCCTACATTTAGGATCGAAGTTTTTAAATATATTTTTACAAACATCTGTTAGCAAATAGCTTTCTGCATAAATTACGTTTCTTTCGCAACTGTATAAGTAGCGTCAACTCTAGGCAATCCACCATTAGCAAAATCGGACGAAAGTTGTTGTGGTGATCTAATACTCACTCTGAGAATATCTCTTCCTCAAGGTAAGGAGTACATTGTTGCATTAGCAGAAACATCAATAATAACTTTTCAGACCACTCAGCTTTTTTAACCATGACTGCCAGCTGATCGTGTCTCTGCATTTCAGGCGGTTTTCTTCATTGTAACGCAGATGACTTTTTTTGCCTCTTCTTGTACACGTTGTCATTGATTTCATCGAACATAAGCATGATCACTCCTATGTTCAAATTTCGTATTCTGTCTCTTTTGACTTCAAAACTCAAATGTTTAATGTCCTACATTTGTATTTAACTTATCTTCCTCGTGATCCATGAGAGTTTATTGATCATATCACATTAATTACACCAAAGGTGGCTCCGACGATATATGAAATACAAGGTAAACAGTTTTTCCCCCAGGGTTAATTGCTGAGTGGAATTTGAAAGTGGGAAAGTATTCTTCGCCTTTAGTTGGCCATTGGGAAAATAGAATATCATGATAAGCATTCATCCGCCTCACAGTAAAAATCGTTAATAGTAAATAATACTAATACTCACTTCAGTTTATTCTTCTTTTTTGGGGTAGATGAACTCGAAGACGTGTCATTTGTCTATTCAGCTGTCTATTATTATGGTATCTATTCTGTTGACCGCGGTATCCAGTGTGACTGCTAACTGCAACTGCGACGACGACGTAAGGTCTTGTCACATCGGGTGCCAAAAAAATCCTAGTCAAACCTCAAGATGTACTCAGAAGTGTAAGAGCGGTTACGTTGCATGTCGTAAAAAATATTGCAGTGGACGTCTTCTTCGTCGCGACGAGGCCGACTTACTCCCAGAACGTTTTCCTGGAAGTAGCTTTTATTAAGCGGAAAAAATGGTACCCACTCAGGAAACACTGAACTGAAACCCACTCACTGAAACACTAAATAGTCCTGTGTTCTCAAGCGGCCTAGGCTGGCTTTTATTGTAAATAAAAGTGAACATTAGGCTTAAAAGGTTTTAAGTAGAAATGTGTTACTATTAATGCTCTTACGACAGCAGGCAGTTTAACATGTAATATGGCATCAGCTTTTATTTTGATGAGTAACATAAATCAGCTTTTTTGAATACAGTTCCTAGTAGGTAATCACAGCGTGAATCGAGAGTGTTACTAGAAATTTTGGTATGGAAAATAAAACTAAAAATAAACAATAAAAAGTATTTGAACGACTTGACCCTTTTTAAGAAAGTGATCGAATCTTTTCCCGGAATGGCCCGTAAACGAAATTCCAGTTTGACAGAGCTGATTAATTTGAACAGTTTGTGCAATTTGCAGCTCTTTGCCAGCAGTATTGAAGAAAATATCAGGCATTGAAAACTGCTAAATTACTGAGTGGCAAAAGGGTTAATGAGCCATACATTCTTTGTAAAATTTCGAATTTTTCAAAGAGAATTTCTCCGAAACCATTCGATATATCGAGCTCAAATTTTCAAAGATATCGGAAATTGATATGCTCTTTTAATCTTCATGGCCTAGTTGTTCGAAGGCCCGGACTGATTAGTGCTTAACCAAGGGTTAAATTTAACCCGGGTTTCGTTTCTTTTGTTCAAAAGCATGTTCTTGGATAATTTTCTATGTTGTTTTTAAGAACATCTAATCATCAACTTGTTGACAAAAAGAATTAAGCTGAATTTACTTTTTAAGCTCTCATATCTCAATTCAAATTTTACACTAACCCTGCGTTATCTTAACCCAGCTTTGAACAACCCGGCCCAGAGGTTTTATTTCATTAGCTTCATCAGATAATGATAATGATGATGAGCATATGTTAACAAGGCAAAAAATGTAAAGAAAGATATTCGCCTACAGGGGTGCCCGGGGATGGTTTGTCCAACTTGTGCCAGACTGCAAATTCTCCTTCCGGGACATTTGTCACTCACTTCCAAGGCCCATTATCTTGGTACGCTACCGATTGATTTCTAACGCTGACAAGATTACACGAAATTATAAAACTCACCGAGGAACCGTGAGCACAGTCCGAATGACGCTGACCAACTCTTCTGACGTGACCTCTCCCAAATTAAGACTCTCAGCAAAACCAGCACTTTTTGCAGCCTGCGAATTATCAAACTGATCACCAAAGAAGGGAGAACAAATCATAGGTACTCCATGATAAATGGATTCAAACATTCCATTAAGCCCGGCGTGTCCAAAAAACAGACGAGTCTTAGGGTGGCCGAGAATGTCGTTCTGTGGGAGCCAGGATGCAATTTTGATATTGTCGCTGAGTGCTATAGAGTTTGCTTCTGCTAGAAGTAGGAATAAATGATAAACAATTAATATGCAAACTCAGAAAAATATCAAGTACCTTGTTAGAGTTGAGGCGTGTGTGGCCGAGCGGTTAACACCTCGAACTCTGGATCTGGAGGTCTGAGGTTCAAGCCTCCCCCGTCTCATCCAGGTGTATAAATGGGTACTGGTGACATACTGCTGGGGGGTAACCCTTCGATGGACTTGCATCCCGTCCAGGGGGCAGAAGCAATACTCCTAGGTGCTTTATGGTACGGACACCGGTATAAGCTCCGGCCGTGTGCCCCCCCCCCCCCCCCCCCCCGGAGGCAAAAAGGGGGCCGAGAAAGAAAAAGATGAGAAAGAATAAAAAGAGGGGGACCTCCCCCCCCCTTTACCTCCACTTTCTGTTTTGGCTCGCGCCCTTTCTTTTTTTTTTTCTTTGGTTTCTCTATTTTCACACTAAAATACTTATTCTTTAGTCTATAAGTCCTCTCCCCCCCCCCCCCCCAGGAAGGCAAAGTGGCTGCAAAGGACTAAAATCAGGTACGAGAATACAAAGTGCGAGCCTCGCTCACATTCCTCACTATCCTATTGCGTTCTCGGGCGACCTTTCTTCTCTTTTCTCTCGCTTACATTTAAATTCACAGGAGATAATACTTTCTTGAGACTCCGAGTATCCTGAAGTTTCTGCATCTCTCGACAACGCCTGCACAGTCGATTATCGACTGACGCAAAGGCGTCGTGGGTTTCATGCACACAGAACTACTCGCGTTGATGGGTTTATCTTAAGCGCGCAGTAAGTAAGTGAAAGTCATGAAAGTTGTACCATATTATGGCTCTGTGCTTAGCCTACCCTTTCCTTGGCATTTGACGAGAATTTGTCAAGTTGTCAAGATTTAGAAGGGTGCCGTTACGTTGAGAGTAACCAGCATCAAACTCTTCTTAGAATACTTTAACTATAAAGGTTAAGTGAGAATTAATAGAGGAACCGCAGAAACGATTATCAAACGCCATGTCACAAATTATGTGTGATGCAATCAAGTTCCATTTTAGCATTTAATTCTTCACTCTTCTCGTAGCATATCTCTCCACGTGTTAACATTTTAAAATTCTATACTCTGTTCTATACTTGAAAAATATTCATCGATATCAATTAACCTTAAGAAATTCGATTATCTATATACTCGTTCCGACAGCTCCACGACTACACGGCTTCTTGGTCGAACAAGGTCCAGTTCTTCGATCACATGACTAGTTTCCCGCCACATGACCCAATAAATTTCTTACAAGCCATAAAACGTCGTGGTTTTTAAAAATATATTTTACTTAATAAGTATTATAATAAACGTATAGAAAACACTGCTGAGAATAACTGATTGCTTGGGGTGATTTTTTTGAGTCAGAAATGAACTTACTTCGCCAGTTTTTTTTTACCCTGTCAGTAGTTCCCCGTTGCCCGTTCCGCTGGGCAAGGGCAACGCAGACTCTGGAAACGAGATTACTTCGAATCCTAGCTGAAAATCAGTATTAATTACCTTCAGACAGCTTCCATATAATCTTCTGTGGTAATTTTGCGAACGCATTAACCATAACCGACAAAATGGTGTTATCGACGCTTGATACTGAAGATAACGTTGAACCAAATGAAACCAGAATTACTCCACTGTCCTCAGAGCTCTGCATGAAAGTCTCTAACTCGGCCGAGACTAGCTTGGGTGGACTGGTGAGAAGAGGACCAACAACTCTGGTGTCTAGAAATACAGTTTTCTTACAGCATATTGATTAACATAGCAAATTGATCAACTTTTGTATGCATACCATGTACTACTTTTCCATTGTTTTATATTTACACAAGCATCATTTTCCGCGGCTATAATTGTTATGGTTAACCATAAAAATGGGGGGATTCGAAGGTGTGAACTTGAAACACTAAACTTGTTTCAGTTTTGTCAAGATGCATATTATTCATGGTACAAATCCCCTGTATGGAAACAGAAAAGAAAGGAAAATCGAGGTCATGAAAATTCCGCAGGGGGTTATCTTCGATCCTTCTTTTCCCCAGCCTCCCTCCCACGCATGGAAGACATAGAGATCGGGTAAACTGACAAATATTATGGTCTTACAACTCCGCGCTAAAAGTCTTTGAAGCCCGGAAACAATGGAAAAGATATATCAAGAATATTTTTAACTTTTGACTCTGGGGAGAAAGTACTATTATGATGTAAACATCTTCTACTCAATTGAAATCATCGGATCGCCTATTTAGTTTTCTGATCTTAGTCTGTGTGCAGACGCCCCCTCCCCTCTTCTCCCCGATTTGTTTGAGGGGAGGGGGTGTCTGTACACAGGTTAGTCTGATATGTTTAGCACACTGAATCCTTCCCGTGAGCCATCGCCCAGATTGGTCCTCTTTAGGGTTTTTCTGACTTCCAACCCCCCCCCCCCCCCCCCCCCCCCCCCCCCCCCTCCTCCTCTCTCGCAATCCCCTCGAGGGCAACAAAAAAAAAAAAAAAACAACACAACTTATAATACAAGAACCGAAAATAATAAAATAAAACATAACTCGTCGCCTGCCTTGTCGCGTTTTTTTTTTTTTCTTTTGTTTAGATGAAAAACAAAGATATCATCATAGGATAATTATATTAACATACACACAACCTGTATGGGTGGAAAAAAAATAAATTTTTTGGCACAGAAGCTTTTCATTTTCCTTGTTTTGGTTTTCGCGGTGTTTTTCTTTAGCCAGACCGCTTTTCCTCGTTTGGGTTTTGTAACTCACCCCTGGGCCATTTTTTTGTTTGCCAGGCGTTGGGGGTTTTTCAAGAATGCATTTTTTAGTAAAGCTAGGGTTTTTTAATTTTCAACCCCCCTTTTTTTTGGGGGGGGGGGGGGTTTTGTACCAGGTTTATTTGATTTTTTTTGCCCCACGAATCCCTCCCCGGAGCCCACCCCCCAATTTGGCCCTTTTTGGGTTTTTTTTTCCTCCCACCCCCCCCCCCCCCCCCGCTCTCCAGCGGTTCATTACTTACTTGGCAAAACCGGTCGAGGATAATCAAGAAAAAAGCCCATTTGTCCAATGATGAGGTCAACCCGATTTAATATCACATGGAGACTCTTGTCGGGCTCAATCTTGTGGCGATCTTTTAAGTCTTGAAAGTAAGGAACAATTCCATTGTAATATGCCCAGTAATTTAGAATCCAATGATACACGTTCTGTATTCTGGTGATAAAACTCAACTGGTCACTAAGGGCAGACTTAAACTGTGGTACGTAAGAAGGGGTCAGCGGTAAGCCATAAGCATGCGCCGTAGGCGCACTAAGCGAGTTTGTGAATACAGTGACAAAAGGTAAGGAGAATTTTGCGGCAATAAGTGATCCACAGATGTAAAGGGAATCTCCGACAATGAGATCTGCGTTTCCGGCTCCCTTCATTACCTCAGCGTTACTAAGAAAATCGTCACGGTAAAGATTCTGAAGACTTGCCAATCCTCTCATTTCATTCACAGTGTTCTTCCCAGATTTTCCCACTGCCTTCCCTATCATTTGCATGACTTTCTTGAAACTTTCAGAAGTTTTAAATGGAATTGCTAACGGATCTTTGTGGGTGAAAGTTTCGGTATCACCAACGAAAATTTTCACCTGAAATGGAAAAAAAAAATCATTCACCATTTTCGCGTTGCTAATAATACATCTTGTTTATCCCCGCATTCCCCAAAATTTGCATAACCATTGTTTCCAATTCCTCCTGGGAATTACAGTCGTCCCGGGAGAAATTGACGATGATGCTTATGCAAGAGTTTTGGAGGTAAATAGTAATATAGGAAATTTAAAGTTGGAAAAAAAGATAGTTCCACCTATTTAAGTCGTTTTCAGTCGGTTTTTTTTTTCCTAAAAAATTTCGGTACATTCGAAAAGACCTTTGGTCTGTTTGGTAACGCTCGCAAGCCTTAATGACCATATTCGTTTCACTGGAACAAGGATAGGAACGCATCGAAATTCAATTCCTGAAGTGACTCTTATGCCACATTTTTAAGCAATTCCGTCCTTGTTAGCGATCGTGGCGATTATGTGGTTACTTGTCTGCTTGTGTCAGACTTAGATCGTAAGGGGGTTGGCTGAATTTTTTTTTGCATCGCCAACAGTAGCGACCATAACGAATTAAATTTAAACGATGATAAAGAAGGCTAGAATCTGTGTTTACATCCGAGTTTACACAATCAACATCATTCCTAGTAATCCTAGGGGGTGTCTTGCTCAGCCACTTTGAAATATTTTTCTCTTCCACATATTAGACGGCTATAGCAAGTTTTAAATGGCCGCGCAGTTGCACCAGAATGCTGTTTTTCTCCGAAAGGAAACTTGATTAAAATCTTAATCATTTGAAACTTAACTGAACCAGCTAGTAGAAATTGCAGGCAAAACAGTTTGCTCAAGCGGATCAAGAGTGTCAATCGATTTTAATATCTTACCTCGTGACCTCTGGCAGTGAGTTCTTCCCCAAGTTTGGCGAACACCAGGTAGTGGCTTCTTGTAAACATAGGAAACATGGCGTACTTTGCCGCAAGGCAGCTCGACAGAAGCGAGATAAAGATAAAACAATCCAAAGCCGCCATTTTTCTGCGTTATTTATCTTTGCAGATAAAGCAAACAAAAAGCATCAGCTCATTTCAAAACTAAATACCCTTATAAAAATACTGTCAGTACAGCCCATCCGATTATGGCACTTACGTCACGCATTACAGAAAAGACTCGTTTACTACGTCCGCGGGGAAAACCCTGACCCCTTTCAGCAGTGCAAAATAATACGTTTTTAAACTGGTGTACTTTGCGGCAGGGCAGCGTGAGAGAAGCGAGGTAGGGATAAAGCTGTGAATAGCCGCCTTTTTTCAGCGTTACTTACCCTGTTTGTCCCATACATACACAAGGGCAGACCATTTGCAAATTTAAGAAAGGGTGGGACCCCCGCCCCACCACCCCCAAAAAAATCACGTGGAAAAAATGCCTACAACCCTTCTTCACTTTTCTAATGGTCCGCCTCTGAGTTGACACTTTATTGATCAACACATTGTCATAATAACCGTCTCAGAACAACGCTTCGGTCTTGCATTTCAGAGAAAACTTCCAAAGAGCCAAGCCATCAAAAATAAAAAGCTATTTTCTCTGCAGCCTGCTTCATTTTTTGGAGCCGCGTTTTTTTAAAATTGCTTTTTATAATAAACATTAAGGAGTAAAAAGGTATAAAACTGTCTCAAGTAAAGAGTTTTAAACATGAGGCTCTTGCCCATGCTCAGAAGCTACAACCTGAACCAAAATCTACGAACTATAAATACGACTATGCTTCCAAAATATGCTAGACATGGAGGTTACTGTTTTTTCGCTTTTAAGCTAAGCTGTGAAACATCAATAGATGTTTTGTAATTCTTTCTTTTAAAATCCGTTTCACTTATACCCTGGGTGCCAGAGGCTTTTCATACGCGGTTTCCGGTTTCGTTTATACGGCTTCGCCGTTCGTGTCTTCGGCCAGTCGGCCTGCCTGCGGCCGACGAAGCTCCTCGTCACACGCTCGAGAAAACCTCTGGTACCTACTCCACTTAAAGCAAAGGGGAGGCGTGTATTCTCATAACTGTAACAAGTTCAACAAAATTTATATGCTTTCTGAGAAAGTGCCAATAGAGTTTACAAATAGCAGAATATTCATTCCATCCACTGTTACGTCTAGGTCGACTAGAGATCCATTTCGCTCTTTTTAATCCTAACTCGATGTAAGAATCCTCGTTCAGGTACATTTCGTTGTCATCGCCAGCCAATCGTTACTTTGAACTTGACATTGAACGTGATGCCATGCGTAAACCTCTTTTTATCAACCATGAAACTTCATAAATTAAATGATTTTGCTTTGCCTTTTTCTTTTATTTTGGGGCGTCTAATACAAACTTAACATCACAGGGGCGTGGGAGGGCGTTTATTAGACAAGAGACATTTCTTTGAGATAGGGCTTCATTTAGATCGTTCACCGGCTAACTAATCTAATAAAGAAACTTATGGGAATTGAGCTAAAAAATATCCGCGCTACCGCATGCTGCAGACGCCACAACTTAAAAACGAACAAAATAACCCATGTTTGGCCTTATGAGCCCCTCTAACTGAGATAAAGTGTTTACTGTATCACATAACACAGTAAACAAGAAACTACGTCAAAGAGCTTGAAAACGTTTTCAGCTCGCCATCGAATGTCATCCGTTAGGAGAATATTCTAAGAGCCAGAGGTTTTTTCACTTTCAGTTAAATAAGTTAATAATAAAAAGATAGGTACTCATGGGCGTGAGCTTTTCAAATCGCTATTCTACAACGTACCTTGATGATATGGCTTTTCCTCCCACCGGGGGATTGGTGGAGGGGGAAGGGGGGCTTTTCCTCCCATCAGGGGATTAGGAGGAAGGGTATTCCATACTACCAATAAAGGCCGTGACTTTGGGACTCTAATCTATTCTAATCGGGTGTCTGCAACCAAGATTTTCCTGTAACGGGAACTAATACTGAATATTTCGCAAAAACACAAGTCGAAAGTAGCGTGAGATTTTGAAGGTATAGGACCGGAAGAAAAGTAAGAGCGCCGAAGGCATAACCAACAACAAGTTCAGCAAAGTTTCCAAACACTTACATGGGCGCGAACCTCAGTTGATTTGCACTCGCCATTTTTATCGTTGAAGAAAATGGTTTTTGTAAATTTTTGTTGTGATTTTGTAGATAAGCCCCCAACAAATCCTCATTATACTGCCTGCAAAGTCAGTGAATAGGCCAGGGAACGAAGCCAACTTTAAAACGCAGTACAATGAATAACCAGGCATGTAAAGAAAAATGGCGACAATCTTTATTATACTCTTTTCTTCGACGTGATCATGACTTAGTAAAGTTAGTAATAAATTAAGGTAAAAATAATGGTTATCATAACGTTCATAATAATGGTATTATCTTACCTTCTATATTGTGCTTTTGGATTAATATATAATAATATAAGAATATATTTGTTAGCTTGTCTTGTTCACACTCGTATACGTAACCCTTTTGATAATGAATTTCACCATCCACACTAACGCCAACTAATCTAAAGGGATCAATTTGAAAACGAAACGCTTCCTTAGTGTGGATGAATGGCGCATGTTCATATCATATGGCCATTAAAAAAGAAGTTATGTCACGAGGATATTGCTGTTTTAGGTCACTTCTGTGCTGAAATTACCATAACTTAGTGCCTTCATCCTTCCGCAAAATACCGCTATATAGTTATGAAGAAAATGTCAAACAAATCGCATCATATTGCCGGTATTTCACTAAAACTATGAGAAAGTTGGGCCAAATTTTTCAAGTTTCAATCCAAGTCCGTCCTTGCCATCCGTTTCAACATAAGACAGGAAACAGTTCCAAAATAAAGCCTTAAAAAACAAAAGTGGACCATTATCATTGGAATTCAATTGATTCTAAAAACAATTTAGCTAAACAGAGCGTGACTTTGCCCCTTTAAAGCCAGCGTTTACGCATAGTCCCTCTCTGCCGTCCATCTTACCTAGTTGGCATTTTTGAATCTCTACACTTTGGATGCGCTTTCAAATTTATCCGGATTTGTGTATGTGTGGACGGGGGCTTTATTAGCGTTTATATGAACCATTTTTCTTCATGTACCAATCCTAATTACGTTTTTCTTTGCTTGGCTTGCTCTTAAAGCATATTCGACAAAGACATTTAATTAAGAAATAAAATGCTGCGAAAGCTCCCACTAAAAGAGCACTTGCAACCAAAATGACATCCAAAAGGTAAAGCTGATAAAACGGCAAGTCCAGTCCTCGGGGTCTGAGGTGTGGTAAGCCGCCCATGGCTTGCGTGTACTCGATCCAGTCCGCAGCTTGTTGTACTGGAGTGCGAGGGTGATGTCTTATCATCTTGGAAATTCGACCGGCGGACTGTCGGTAACTATAAGATTCGAAGGAAAATTATGTACATATTAATATTCAAGATTGATCATTGGGTATGTTGCCCAAACCGAAATGACTTTTAGTTACCGTACAAGACATAAGAGAGAGACAGCCAATTCTCAGTTTATTAAAAATTAGCGTCACCCCGTTAGACCAAACTCATTCTAAAAATGCTAACTAAGCTAAACTGCGGTCTCAACCAATTGCCGATTAAATTGGGCGAGTGTTTTTTTGCTGTTCTTTGTTGATTAAGAAAAACTGTATTAATTTCAACATTTCAATTGTTATCGAGGATTTGGGGCCCTTATGGACATCGGGTTCTCAAGCATAAATTTCAGTCTGCTTTGAACTGTTCCTTAGTCTGATTTGTCTGTT